TGACGGATATTGTATTTTCTGTCAATGTTCTATTTTCTTGTAATAATTAGTTATCTCAGGAAATTTGAAAAAAAAATATTCTTTCGGGAAAAATGAAACATATTTTCGTAGGAATTTTCATGAAATTTTATTTTATGAGGGTACAAAGTATAAGGAAGGGGAAATCAAATAAAAATGGTCATTATTATTATTATTTTTTTATCGAAAAAATTCATGATTAAAATATTTGCTATAGGCAAATCGAATTTTTGTACTAGGAAATATTAATGGAGATTTTATATCAAGGATCCACAAAAAAATAGAATGCTTCATATTTAAAAAAAAATAATTTTTGATATCTCCCATGTTGCATTATTGTTAATATTTAGTATAACCCCAATTTATATTCTTAATATCTTTATTCCAAAAAAAAAAAAATCAACACCTAAATCAAACCCGTAATTTAAAATTTAGCTAAAAGTAGGTTGATTATTTTGTTTAGATTTGTAATATTGATACAAAAATATTTGCCTAATATTTATGCATCGATTTTGCATTTTTTTTTATTTTTTATTTTATTTATTTATTTATTTTTTTTTTTTGTGGTAAGCCACAACAATAACTTGGCACAGGCATGCAAAATTTTCCAAAGAACAAATATTCCATACGTATTAAAATTCTAAAAATAAAACATAAACAAAACTTATCCAATTCGTATGTATGTATATACCACAAAATTGTTTTGGGGGCATTTAGTTTAATGGCAAACCAACGAAGGCAAGGCAATAACAAAAAAGTAGAATTTTTTCAACAAAAAATCCCATCATTATTTCCCTTGTGATTTTTTGTGCAAATGGGCTCAAAAAAAAAACCCCAAATGAAAATTATAGGAAAATTTACAACACACACTTCTCTATTATTTCATCGATATCGATAGATTAGTTTTTTTTTTTTGTTTTTGTTTTTGAATTGTGAAAAAAACGCATATTAGAATTCTGTTGAAATACAATAGCAGCAACAGCAAACCCTACCTATGTTTAATATTTGTTGTGGAAATTTCCCTAAAGTGCAATTGGAGAGTGGATTAATATAAACACAAACACAAATACACTCTCACACACACACACGTAGGGAGATTATGCGTATGCTATCTCGATGACTGTTAACCAATATTTTTTGAAAAATAAATAACAAAAAAATATATAAAATTGGTATATTAGTGTCGGTGTGTTGTTTGTATTGGTTTGTGTTACCTTAGTTTATTTGTCAAACAAATAGTCAAATTGGGAATAAATTAGAAACAAAAATTGCTATTTAGTTAAATGGGTCAATTTACAAAGTATGGAATTTTTGTGTGGAATCCAATAAATATATATATATGTGAACATATGTATATAAGAGGAGCTAAATTGCTGTATCATATTTACACATACATATACGTATATGTGTACCATATTTTATTTCTAAATTAAAAATATTTGAAAATATATATACATAAATAATATTTAGCAATAATGTTATTCTTAGAAAAAAACCTCAAAATAGTTCACAAGCGATTTTTTTTGTATAGAGTATTTAATTTGTATACAAATATATATAAATATTTTTTTAAATAGGGAAATATCCATAAAAATATTCTTATACCATACAATTATGTGCATATGTTGTTAATATGCAAAAGGAAATAAGATAGAGCCATCTTAAATTTTTCTGAATATACATAAGATCATTTTTGGAGTCGATTTATGGATGTCCGTCTGACTATCTGTAGGCCAAGTATTTTTATATGCAGGGTACAGGACGCATTTAGTATCCAAATGAGATTAAAATTTACATGGCTTTTTTTGCCCAGTAGAATCCTATTTACATTGGAACAACCCCGTTCAGCTTTTCGTATTTATTTTCAGATAATGTAAGCCTCATATTTCTGTCGCATTTCATAAATGTTTTCCAAAGTCTCACTAAAGCCCGATTAATCAAGTGTGTGATATTTTTGATATTTTTGAAATCTGTCTAGATTTAGATATAGCTCTATATATATTTTCGATTTCCTGTATAATCTTTATAGAAGAAGGACTAGGAAACTTTATAGATGAGCTGCAAAACAAAGAGTCTATACAGGCGATGTGAAGATCATGGGTGTCTTTATATACGAGCTGAAAGGTTTGGAGACTATATAGGGGGGCTGAGTTGCAGGGAATGAGGGCGAGCAAAATGACAGGGAGACTATAAAGGCGAGCTGAAGGGCAGGAAACCAATATAGGCAAGCTGAAGGAAAGAGGGTATTTATAAATGAGCAGCAGTTCTGGGAGAATTTATATACGAGCTGCAGACTTGGTTATCTTTATAGACGACATGCAGGACATGAAGTTTTTGTAGGCGAGCTGATGGCCTGGGGGACTGTATGACGAGACGAAGGGCAAGGGGTCAGTATAGATGAGCAGAAAGGCTGTTTTTTATATATGAGCTAAAGGGCAGGGATTTTTTATAGGTGAACTAGAGTGCAGGGAGTCTTTATAGGCGAGCTGAAGTACAGGGATTCTTTAAAGGCGAGTTAAAGGGCAGGGACTCTTTAAAGGCGAGCTGAAGTGCAGGAAGCCTTTATAGGCAAGCTGAAGGACAGAGAGTCTTTGTAAAAGAGCCACAGGCTGGGAGAATTTATATACGAGTAGCAGAGGTGGACAAAATTTTTATATGCGAGCTGAAGGCCTGGGTGACTTCATAGACGACCTGAAGGGCATAGATTCTTTAAAGTCTAGCTGAAGGTCAGGGAGTCTTTATAGGCGACCTGACGGTCAGGTCAGGCGAGCTGAAAGGCTGGTAGTCTTTATAGACGAGCTGAAGGACTGGTAGTCTTTTTAGACGAACTGAAGAGCAGGAAGTCTTTTTAAGCGAGGGATAGGGAGTCTTTATAGGCGTGTTGAAGGGCATAGAGTCCTTATAGACGAGCTGAAGAATTGGGCGCTGAGGGTCAGATAGTCTTTTTAGGCGAGCTGAGAGGCAGGGTGTCTTCACAGAGGAGTGAAGGTCAGGTAGTCTTTATAGGCGAGCTTAATGCCTGCGGGACTTTATAGACGAGCTGAAGGGCAAGGGGTCTATATAGATGAGCTAAAGGGCAAGGAGTCTATATAGATGAGCTGAAGGACTGATAGTCTTTTTAGACGAACTGAAGAGCAGGAAGTCTTTTTAAGCGAGGGGTAGGGAGTCTTTATAGGCGTGGTGAAGGGTATAGAGTTTTTATAGACGAGCTGAAGAATTGGGCGCTGAGGGTCATATAGTGCTTTTAGGCGAGTTGGGAGGCAGGGTGTCTTCATTGAGGAGTGAAGGGTAAGGAGTCTTAGAGGCGAGGTGAAGAACGGTAACTCATTATAGGTGTGCTGAAGAGCAAGCTGAAGGGCAGGAAGTATTTGTCGGCGATCTGAAGGGCAGGAGGTCTTTAAAGGCTAGCTGAAGGGCAGAGACACTTTATAGACGAAAGCCTTTATGGAAGACTCTTTACTAATGATCTAAAGAGCTAGGAAGCTTTATAGGTGAGCTGGAGGCTGGAAATCTTTATAGAGGAATGACGCGTTTTAACTTTTGTTAAAATCGGATCACTACAACTCCCCCATATATATTGTGTTGCCCTGGTTTTTTAATTGGTCACCAAGGGCCTTATGCTAATTCAAATGACTCGAAATTTTATAAACCGCACCGAACTGAGCATGGAATAACGTTTGTTACATTATATTAAAATATGTCAGGATATAGTGTAAATGGTTCGATGTAAAATAAATTTTGCATTGGTGAGATTTACATATAGCACCCTAATATATAATCTTCCGATTTTATCTAAATGTTACACCAAAGTGCTAAGTCTTACGGATAGACATGGAATTTAGCATATATTGGCGAATGACATGTGTATTGGTGGATTGAAGTCGGTTCATATACAGAATGATTAACCAGGGATGCTACGTCTGTACTATCGACAGGCTATTGTTCAAATACAGCCAAAATCATTATAGAGGGCATTCGTGAATGAAATATATTTTGAGGAATACAGGTTTTGTTGTCGTTCTCTGAAAAAACGTCATTATATAGGAGAATTCTATCAGGTCAAGAGATATCATAACGATTACCATATTTTTAACACATTTTGCAAAATGTCTTTGTAGAGGTAATTCGGAGCATTTAGATATTATATAAAAGGAAAAGAATAATAATGGAACCTATCAGCTTTTGAGTAGATCGTAGCAATATTTGTCAGTCGTAGCAATATTTGTCAGTCGTAGCAATATTTCCAAGAAAAAAAAACTACATCTAAGGATATTCAAATTGTTTCAAAAGTCTTCTGAATAACTTCTAGATGGTCTGCTTCGAAAATAATGTATTTTGTGACACTCCAAGAATGAAGAGACATTCTAAGAGTTTTATTCATTCTTTAAACAAATAAAAATACTAATAAGAGACAATCTACAGTTGGTAGAATGTTTTCTGATTCCGAGGCAGAGATATATTTTTGGGAGGTTCCTTATTTTTAATAACGTATTTTTTGTTGGAAGTCCTTCTACGACTTCTACTTTGTTAATGCAAAAAAAAATCATTCAGGTTACTTTCATTTTTATTTGAAACCTCTATGTGAACTATTCTCCAGCATAATTATGTATGAATTCAAATAGAAACGCCACCATATTTCTATTTAAATTCACCACAAGTTCATTGCATATTTCTACACTACATTTATTGACTGGAGTGCAAGTAATACCCTTGAGGTAGAACACTGCACTTGTTGTTAGCAAGAAATATTGGAAATTCTATTGAAAAAACGTTGGCATTCACAAAAAATATTCACAAATTCTATAATTCCTAAAAATTGCCAGATATAACCACTTTTGTGGTACACTATTTTTGCAATATTTTTGTTGTTGTTATATTTTTCCAACATTTTTTTCCGATACACTTGAATATTGAATAACAACACTCATTGGTTTCTCTTTTTTTTTGGGTTGTGTCCCCTTTTGTTTGTATTTCATTTTCAGACTGGCATGTCACGTTTGAACTATACACCCACAACGGATTTGGATTATGGTACAATATCGTGTTGGGCCCGAAATTCCATTGGTGTGCAAAAATCTCCCTGTGTTTTTCAAGTGGTAGCAGCGGGTAAGTACACACATACTCATCACACATACACTAACTATCAAAAAAACACAACATACGCATCATCAAGCTGTGGTAAGAGTTTGTCTGTCTGTCTGTCCGGCCGTCATTCACATGAACTCATGATGTGGATGAGAGTGAACGTTGAACAACTATTCATTTAATTTACTTAACTGTCATTTGAGACCAAAAACTAAAACCGTTGACAACATAAAACTTTAGCAAAATTTCTGTATGTTTTATTTTACCCTGTGTTTTGTTTTTTTTCTTGTTTTATTGCAAACATCAGGTCGTCCATTTCCATTACAAAACTGTTCCATAACCAACCAATCAGCAGATTCTATACAAGTGGATTGCATTGAGGGTTTTGATGGTGGTCTACCACAAAGTTTCATGTTGGAGTTGGTGGAATTAAACAATTTGCGTTTGGCACGAAACATAACATTGCAGGTAAGTTGGCTTTAAATAAAAAAAAAATCTAGCAATCCCACAATAACATACACACATACAAATGTGTATATACATTTCAAATGAAGCTGCACACACACTTACAAATACGAAAAACACAAACTTTGCAAAACAACAATTACACACATGAAAATTGTTTATAATTATTTATTTGTAACAAATATTGCCCATGTATGTGGTCTAAAACACATGTATTAGTATTTTTTGTTGTGTACATGTGTGTGGTTGCAGAATTCTTAAGAAAATTAATATTAGTCCTTGACTATGGATTTTTTTCTTTCCATGCATCTTTTTTTCTTCATCTTCAAATAACTTCCACATCATTAGTTCTTCGTCTTCTCCGTAATGGAGGTGGTGGGTGTTTTGAGGAAATATCCTTTTTCTGGTTGTTGTTTTTGTATATGTGGTTAGTCACAAAAAATATCAATTGCCGAAATTAAAAAAGTTTCTATGAAAAGTTTTTTTTTGTTTTTTGCTCCATTACCAATACCCACACACATGTATATGTAGGTGAGAACAGATATTATATTCATATGAGTAATACTTGATTTTTCTGTGGTAGATTTTTTTCTGCTAAAGTTTTCCATTTCAATAGAAAATAAAGAAAAAACTAACTTTTGTTTATTCAAGATGAAGTTTGGGGTTTTCCTATAATTGTAGAGGAATTAAAGGAAGAAATTTGGCAAATTTCAAATGGAAATAGTTCACGAGTCAATCACTTTATGTCAGAGACCCGATTTAAGGATGTGAGCATATGAAACAGCATTGAAGGGCCTAAGAGTCTATTTTGTCTGATTCGGACTTTAAATTTAAGAAATGAAATTAAGTATATTGATAAAAAATTATTTCTATTGTAAATGTAGTTTTTGTTTTCTTTTACAGAAAGAGAACTTTAAAATATCTTAAATCGATCAACCCAGCTACAGATCTGCTACAGACCATCAGATCAAGAGATTTGAAGAGTATTTTCAAATTGATAACAAAATTTACAATATACTTTGAGAGAGGTAAAGATCGGGTTTATATAAATTCACACCAGCGGAATACTTATTTAAAAGTCTTCTGAATAAGTATCATTGGGTCATTAATAACAAAAAAAAGTTTTTTGGGATCCCTTAGGTTTTTTTATTTAAAAAAAAACAAACATTTAATTTGCTGTCATCCATTTACTCTTTCAAAAGGCTTTTGAAAAACTTCGGGGTGGTTTTCTTCGAAAATATGACCTTTATCGAGATATTCTACAATTAGCAGCATGTTTTCTAACTCCGACGCAGATCTAATGTAGATAGAATACATTTTAAAGTCCCCAATAATTATACTCCTATATTGTCGATAGGTTAGATACATGGAGCAACAGTTCGATCGAACTATTATATACATCCTTCGAAGCCATATATTAGAAGCCAAAGATGTAAAACGTTTATCAATACGGATTAAAAAAAAAAAAAATATATATATATATATATATATATCTTTGTGCATATGTTTGTAACAAGCAAAGAGAAACGAGATAGATACATGGTACCTTTTGAGAATATGCATGGAATCACTTTCTGAGTCGATTTATGCCTGTCCGTCCGTCTTTAGATGTTAAATTGTAAACAAATTACAGGTCGCATTTAGAATCCGATTTGGATGCAATTTGGCACAGCTCACTTTTTCGGCCCAAGGATTATTGCAGCATATATATTTCGTCGAAATTTGTGTCGATTTGCACGAAATTTGGCATAGGGTACTGAATTTGGTCCAGAATGATGTGTGCTAAATTTCGAGAAAATCGTGTCAGGTTTACATATATCTCCCATATATATTTTCATCCGATTTAAGCTAAATGGGGCACCAAAGTCCCTACATATCTTTCGATTTGCACGAAATTAGGCATATGGTACTGAATTAGGTCCAGAATACATATATATTTTCGTCCAATTTAATGTAAATTGTGTACTGAAGACCAAAGTTTGTCCGACCGGCACACAATTTTGTACAATGTACTGAAGTTACTATAATGGAATGTTTTTACGTTGAAGTATTTCTAACAACCTCTTATATATATTTGTTCGCTGATGACAAATTTTTTTCTGTATTTTTATTTACACGGGCCAGTCCGACTTTACTACTTTACTGGTTGAATATTAGGATACTTTCCTCCTCAGCCTAGAAGCCCTGTGTCTAATCTCGACTCCGATTTTGGTAGAAGAATTGAACATATCCTTAGTGGTTCGAAAACAATGTCAATTATTTTCGCCCATGTTTATGAAGATTACTCGAATTGGTGGAGGGTCTTTTGACATCCTACATGTATTTAAAATGCCCTCTGGAGAAGAGTGAGATTTTTATACCGTTTATAATATAATCGGAATTGGTCAGAATTTGATATTTTGCATTGTTATTGGAAAGAACATCTCCTACCAAAAATGTTTCGGGGTAGGCCCCATATTTAACTGTATACATAATTTTCGATTGTTTCCAATTCCACAAATTTTTTTCAACCAAATTGTCATATATCATATATTCTGAGTTGTAATGCTCGGTGGCTAATGTTCCTATCAAAAATTATAAATATCGATCGATCTTTGGGTACAGCCCCTATATAAAGCTCCAACCCTTAATAGGTATTTGTATAATAATAGGCATATTTACCAGCCCAAGTGACTATTTGTTGACATATAATTTAGCACAATTTAGCATTCCGGTACCTTCGTTGGTACACAACTTCTTCTCAAAACATTTTTTACATAGCTCCCTTATAAACGTCATGCATCATTTTCGGTATGTTTAAAGTCCTAGCCTAATTTTCCAACTAGGGTGTTTGTAGTTTTGTTTTCTCCTGACACCAACTTACCACAAAATAGTCTCTATATAAAAATCTCAATCGATTTTAGTTATTTCGAATGTCCACCTTTTTGTAGAGCGTAAAAAACTTCGTCCCAACCGAACGGAAAGCCTTTTTTAGGTGTTTTAATAGGAAATCTATTTATGAGACTTTTGCCCTATTAAATAATTCCATATACTTCCGGACTTCTAATAAAGTAATTTTTCGGATATTTTTGAGAAACCAAAAAAAAATAATAAATAAATCGACAGTTCATTTTATAAACTTGAAGCAACTTACATTAGAAGGAAACCTACAGGGTTAACAAAATCCGGTACAATGTAAACGTACTATAACATTTCATTAAATATTTAATAAGCCACAGAAGGCTGTTCAATAATTGCTAAGTAATTACTTGGCTTTATAATGATTTATGCTAAATGTATGCGTGCATGTGTGTGTGTGAAAGTTTGCTCAACTCAATTTTGCAAATCTTATGACAACCAAGTCTAGTCTACAAAATTGACACATTTTCATGTAGCGTCGTTCACAGTGAAGAATGATATATGTATCTAAGGACATCCTTAAAAATATCCCGTGAATCTGGGATGTAGACTTACAGGAAAAGTCAACACATGATAAGTTTTCCTAACTTAGAGGCAGCACACACACATTGTCACACACTCCCATAGGAAATTTTATATATTTATCTATTGTGACAAATTTACATAGATTTTTAGAAGTGCATACAGGGCTATTAGGTATAGGGTTGCCAAAGGAATACATTTAATGGGGAAATAAAAAAGAAATAAATTCTAAGTGAGTAATCCTGTCGTATTAAATTTCAAAAATTAAAAATCTGGACACAATATATATATATATATATATATATATTTCTTAGGCCACAATGGCTTCGACACTGAAAATTTTAACTCCCAATTGATTTGTCTTTATTAAAATAGACTAGATTCGAAACCGGTCCTCAAGATCTTATACACCTCACTCCGATATATCTTATTTCTAAGCAAACTTTCCCTGCTCCTTGGCAACCCTTCAATCATTATATCACACGAGAGTATGCCCATGATATATGAAGTCTAACAAACACTTATAAACCTTCACGTATCCTAGAGAAATATGTGCGAGGAAGACAAATGAATAATGTTATACTATATTCAAAGTAATTGTGTGTGTACGTATAGTATGTATGTGTGAGTAACTTAGAGTATCTACTTCGTTTTTATCTGCATATACGTGAAATGTTACAATGTCAACAAAGTTAAGAACGTTTTTCCTGTTCAACAGGAATCCAGTAACATATGAAGGCAAAAACAACAAAAACGAAAAAGAAGCATATATAAATGAACGAAAAAAACCTTTGGCAAGACAAGACAAGGCACTCATCTCCAATTTAAAATAATAACTTGAGCTATCTACCCTGAAGAAATTGACTTTAAACTTTATGTCCTGGAAATGATGTAGTCATTGTTTTTAGGTTTCGTTTCCTAACAGCAAACAACACAGAGATGAGAAAAAAGAAACGAACGAATTGCAAAGTATAGAAAAGAGATTGTTGCAGTAATAATAGGAAAGGAAAGGAGAAAAAATGGGTAGCAGAAAAAAGGCCTGGGTGAAAGCAAAGTTTTATTGTTTATAATTTCTTTTAAACTGCCTGGAAAAAATGACTGTAACAAAGTTTCATTTCTTTTACTTCGTTTGAGTGCTCGTCTTCGTCGTGTTTTTGTTCATGCCTTACAACAAAATGAAATTAGAGAAAAACGTGCCTCTATTAGTCATGTCTTGTGAACGGGAGGAAAAAGTGTCCCCTTTCTTTCTTCCTTTGATATGGGTGCTTGTTCTTCCGCTCCTTTTTCTTTTGTTGGAAGCCATAAAATATAAATAAATAAATTTTCTAGTTTCTGCAAGCGCAAACTTTTTTTATTGAATTTTTAACAATGTTTTGGTGTTTTTTTTCTTTTTTGTATCATACTTTCAGCACACAACAAGTCCGGTTACATTTTTTATTGACAACTTGGATCCCTTGGCCACATATCGTATGATCATTTTTGCCGTTAACGCCAAAGGACGTTCAGAGCCAATTATAATTGATGATATTAATTTTAAAGGTGTTGCTAAATATACAGGTAAGTATTGATGGGGGTGTAGTTTAATGACAAAAAACAAAAGAAGAATTATTGAAAACAATTTTAGGATATTAGGAAATTAGGATACATTAAATGTTATGTCTTTCATTTCCGAGGAGAAATAACTGAAGCAAAAATATTTAATATTCAAGTTGAATCGAATGTCTTGATTGTGTAGATTGAATTTTTTATTAACAATTTTAAAAATTAACCGACCATTACTGTAGATATATGACATTTCGAGATGTTTATTTAACAAAAAATATATTTTCCCCCTCCCTCATCTTCCCACCATCGTAGGACCTAAATTATAGCGGATTCTAATATTGCATTAAATTATAAACTTTGAGATTAAAATTAAAATTTCAATAACCCAAAGAAGGCTGTTTAATAAATGCTAAGTAATTACTCGGCTTTGATTTCCACTAAGTGTATGTGTGAGACAAGTTGCTCAACTTAGCAAATCTTATGACAACCAATTCTAGTCCTCAAGTGAGTTCATAGCGTTTCGGTTCATAAAAATATGACACATTCCAAGTAAAAACGATTTTGAATTCGTACGAGCAGAACTTTTAATACCCCACACCATAAATTGGACATTCAATACCTCAAATTTACCAGGACATAAATTACTGTCAGGAGAAAACCGAATTCCCAACTACAGACAGAACGAATTGCGTATCGTAAATGACGCCTTATATTTGTATGGGTGCTATGTAGAATTATGGGCATGGATATTGCAATTGTTATGTAAAGAATTTGTTTTCACAAAGGTCCCGAAATACAAATTAAAACCACCTCGTAATGCTAAATCATCTATAAAAGTGATTTATCTTTAAATGGAGGCTATGCCCAAAAATCGACCGATATTTATAATTTTTGGTAGGAAGATTTGAAATTCGGTTGAAAACATCTCTGAAATACCAAAAATTTAACTCCAACTACAAGTTTAGAGCCAATTTTATTGAAAAACATGCCAAAATTACCGAAATTACCTTTATATGAAGGTTGCCCTGAAACTTGGGCCAATATTGATAATTTTGGGTACGTAGGTTTTCTACCCAAATGAAAATACAAAATTACACTCTAAAAATACTAAAATTTGGAAGACCAATATTTATATTTTTAGTGGAACTAGGTAGGTACTACCCAGCCATAACCCAAAGTGCTGAAACTCGCGCCAAAAATCGTTTAAATACCGGATATTTGCGGGTACCTTCATATAGGGATACACGAATATTGGACGTTGATAATTTTTGGTAGGAAGTTTGCATTCCAAAAAGAATCAGAAAATTAAAATTAGACCCAAAATTTGTGAAGTATCATGGGCTCTTCCAAAACTTAGCCCATATGTTGATAATTTTCGCTAGAAAGATTTTCTACTCAAGAAAATTCAAAATACTAAATTACACACCAAAAATAAAAATATTTAAATTTGACTGACCAAATGAACCAATATCGATAATTTTTAATAGCAAAATCCTTAAAATATCGATTAATGAAGGATAACGTTATATTTGGGCTAGCCTGAAACTTGAACCAATATTGATCCTTTTTGGTAGAGAAAGTTTTATACGACGAGAAACCAAAATATAAAATTAGAGCCAATTTCTGTAAAAAAGTGTCTAAATATCTACATGGGTATTATATTTACCAAATATACCCATAATCCCCAAATATCCAATATTTAACTCGTGCCAATTCGGTAGGCTATGTAAAATTTCATGAACCGTTTATAAGCAAATTCATATGGTTTCATGTTACATATAAGAGCTCAAATAGGTAGGAAGAATGTGATTGGAAAATGTATCCGCAATCCGTAAATCTCCAATATTTAACACATGTTCATTCGGTAAGCTATGCAAAATTTTATGATCCGATTATGACAAATTTCAATAGTTTTTTGGGCGAATCGGGGATAATAAGAGTCCGAGAGAAAATCCAATTTCTGAAGGTAGAAAAATAATATTGTTTTAATTCACGCTTCTAGCGTCCAATAAAAAATATGTTTTATTTTTTTGGGAAATATATTTTTTTAATCCACACTTTGAGAGTCTAAGAGAAATACATATTTGCATAATAATTTATATACTGGCTTCGAAATTGACCTGAATCATACATTTTGTTTTTTTACTCTCCCTTTTAAAGTCCGAGAGAAAATCGCATCTCTGAAGGTTCCAGGAAAATAATATTTTTTTTAATTCGCGCTTCAATATTCCATTAAAAAATATATTTTTTAAATTTTCTAACAAATCAACTCTTCGAGTATCCAAAATATATATATATATATATATATTTCTAAACCACTTTACTTTGTTTTAACAAATTTTTAAGAATTCCACACTTTGATCGCCTTTGAAAAATATTTTTTTAACTTTGCAAAAATATTAAAAAAGTTATTATCCTCAACATTTAATTCCATAATTCTACTTAATTTTATTTCAAACGATTTCATGAATCCAATAGATTTTAAAAAATGTATTTCCTAATTCCCTTTTGCAAATTGTCCATACGTTAATATTTATATAAATTAAAGATATCTCACAATTTCTCCATATTATCAAGATGTCAAAGTAGGTAAAAGAAAATAGCAATTCTTCTAGGAAAGAAATTGAAATTGTAAATTTTTAATCTGGCATATGAAAAATTGCCCTTTCTGAACCAAACATATTTCCCATTGATTGCAAGTACATGCTAATAATACTTGGAAAATATATGTATTCTTATATCTTTTGAAGCGAAAATATATTTCATAGAAAACTGATATCAATTTCATTACATTGATATGACATTAATCTCTAAAATGATATGAATACGTTTAAAAGCGTATATATAAAAAAAAACACACACACACACAGCCACATATATACATGCATTCAACAATGTATATATTTCACATAATATACATATTTGTCCTTTTCATATATATGTACGTACACACACACATACATGAATTTCCTACTCAAATACAATTTATTTGCAAATTGAAAAAAAAAATCGAACTGTAAGAAAAGGAAAACGATTGCCCTGACTACTTACCATTTCTGGTAGACAATTTGTCCGGGATATGTGAGGAAATCGCTTGCAATTGTTCTGCATACTGCTCTTTGTGTACGTGTAAATGTTACCTTGGGGCGGATGTGTAACTAAAATAAAAACTATCAATAAAAATTGCATTATGCAAAACAGGATATTGACTTTCAGATTGTTTTTTGCTGCTGTTGATATTGTTGTTGTTGTTGCTGCATTGCATCTCATTTCTTGGTTTTGTGCTGCTGTTAACGCTTCCGCTGAAACCAAACCCACTTCCACTTATGGCCTTATTTGTAAAAGATCAATGTATATTTATCATACAGTAGGTAGCATTGGAATTTAAGGGCAATTTCATGTACAAAAGAACCAACAAAATCCCTGTGGCATAGACCCCATAGTTTACATATTTTGAATGTACACCACAAGGTGGAGGGTATTCAAATCTCGGTTCGGCAACATTCTGGACAAAAATCTGATTGATTCGAAAAACTTAATGGGACTATTTGAACATGTTAAGGTGTTAAACCTATATATACGATTTGGGGGTAAACCTTATATAGTGAAAATAGTGTTCTAAATCGGAAAACTTAAAGTTATGGCAAGTATTTCATAATTTCCCCATATATATTTTTTTACGATTTTGAAACCTATCCCACATTTACATGTTCTTGAAGTTTTTATGCTAAATAAATGGCATAGCTATATATATAGCATTCTTGCCATATTCCATTGCCACATATGCATATATTGTACATTATATGAGAGTGTATCTGTTTCGCAGACATTGCTTGCACTTTTTGTCGTTTTTTTCGGTTGTGGAAGCAATAAAAAGCAATATTCTCACTTTTTTTGGGGAGTGATATCAAACACACACTCAGTTCACAAAAAAAAGAAACAAATAAGCAGCCAACAATTGATGTTGATGCAAAATGGAGCAGTAGCAAAAAACAAAAATGTGCAAATCTCATGAATTTTTCACTTTAACACAATGCAAAAAAAATAGAAAGCAAGAACTTCGACTCGAGAATAACCAATCGCCAATATGGGGGATAAAGGACATCATCAGCGGGAATTTATGTTAACATTGATAAATAAATTTTATCGATTATTAATGGCAATGTGTTGCTATACATATACATTTGGGAAGCTTTGTTATACTTCAAAATTTTAAAGGGCATCTCTTTTGTTAGGATGCTTATGAATTGTAGTTAAGTAATTGGATACGAGAATATAACTTTTGATAGCAGAAAAAATTGAAAAAAGAAATAAAAAATTAAGAACACATTTTTTAAAAAAAATATGTTAAGATTTTATTGGGTTCTTTAAAGAAATTATGTTTTTAGAAAACGTTTTCGAAATAAAATTAAAAAAATATTTAATTATATTAATAAGCCAATAATGTAGCTTCAGTTTGGCATTAAATATAAAAATTGCATATTTCTTTTCTATAAAATATTTTCTTTCAATTTGGATCCCTCAAACAAAAAAAAAAATCATAATCGATTCCATTTCACAAAAAAATCGACTACGAATTGCTTTACCTAAACAATCAGTTTTTTCTGTCTTTTTGTTATCCCTTTTTCAAGATTTCTGATATTGAAGCACGTTTCCATTTTGAAAATTCCAATTTTATATGTGAGCTTTGAATGCATTCAAAGCAAAGATTACCCATATGTAAAGATGCGAACATGCGGAGAGACAGAGAAAGTAAATGCATGCATATAAGTTATACACAAAGCAAAAAATCAGGTCATAAAATGCCGGGATGCCAGACAAGAGATTTCGGAAAATCCAATTTTAAAACAAAAGTGTTTGATCGGAAATGTAAAAACATCGATAAGTTCTGTAGTATCGAAATTTTCATAACCTCCACTATTAGGAGAACATTCATCTCGGCACATCGAAATGCTAAAATATAGTCACTTCTTTTGAATAATGCACCAAAATACTTATAAAGGAGTTGCACATTGGGGGTATTTATATAGAACCTAATCTGAAACGTTGATAAATATTGATAATATTTAGTATATGATGAATGGAGAAGGATAAGAATTCAAAAAATATAATTAAATCCACATTGTTTAAAAAGCTCACCCAAACTCCGGAAAATACCGAAATTTTTCATAGGAAGATTTGCCACCCAATGTGAACCCGAGGCAACACCGAAATATGGGCCAATATTGATAGTTTTCGTTCGATGTATTTTCCACCCAATGAGAACAAATTTTATTTTTGATCGTATAAAACTCTCCAGAATACCGAGGCTTATATGAGGCTGCTTTTAAAGTTGATTCTCCAGAATACCGAGGCTTATATGAGGCTGCTTTTAAAGTTGATTCAATATCGATAATACCAAATTACAGCCAATTCGGGGACTACTCCAAACCTAAGCGAGTATTGATGATTTTGGGCAGGAGAACAAACGTTACAACCTCTGAAACCCCAAAAACCCAATTCACAGCCACTTCGATTGAAAAATGGCATAAACATTCAAATTTGCACATATATATTTGAAGATTCAAAACAGAATACAAATCATTTACAAAAATTGTTTGTAGTTATAGTTGTTTTTTTTTTTTGTGATTAAAGTAAAGTCTTTATTTTTGATGGCGGGAATGATAACTCTCAAAGGAAAATCGGAATCCAAAAATTCCAACGGTATTATGAAGTTTGCATGTCTGACTAGAATTATTGACTTCGCACAAATATTAACAAAATGGCGGACCTTTGACTTTTTTGGAAAATCGTATATTTTTGAACACAAACTAAGTTAAAAAACCAGTAAGGAAAGTAGTAGAGTCAGACTGGGCCGACTATATGATACCCTTCACCACTTTGGGTATATTTTACATATGTATCCTAACAGACGACGCGTTTTGTTATAAATCTATATCTGAACCGATTTGAGGAAAACTTGCCAGAGACTAATTTATATAACATCAGAACGTTGTGTCAATCGGCCTAGCTATGGATCTTTTCACGAAGCTTAGCAACATCATTCTAGACTTAATTCAGTACCCTATACCAAAATTCGTCAAATCGAAATATATATAGGGTCTTTCGTGCACCAATTACCTTAAATCGGATGAAAATGGGAGCTATATCTAAACCTGAAGCGAATTTCACGAAACTTGGCAGATATCATTCTCGATCTTATTCATAACTTTGTGCCAAATTTCGTGCACATCAAAAGATTTCCAGGGACTTTAATAGACTATTTACCTAAAATGGAGCGAAGCTATATATGGGAGCTATATCTAAATCTGAACGTTTTTTCCCAATTTCAATAGGGTTCGTCCTTGGACCAAACAATGAGCTGTGCCAAATTTCATCCAATTCGGATCATAAATGTGACCTGTACTTTGTTTACAATTTAACATGGACAGACAGACGGACGGACGGACGGACATGCATAAATTGATTTAGAAAGTGATCCTATGCATATTCTCAAAAGGAACCATGGGTCTATCTCGATTATTTTTGACTGTTACAAACATATGCACAAAGACATAATACCCTGTACCACACTGTGGCGAAGGGTATAATGAGCAAGATCTTCACCGTTTGGCAATTTATACGATAGCTATATAATCACAGAGGAACGTTAAAAAACTTGGAAACGATTGGTTTAGTAGTTGTTGAGTAATCGTAGTACTTAGTTGTAAAACACTATTTCGAAAAAAACTTTTTTAATGTTTGAGAATCAATCTTGTCGCCAATAAATCGACTATATCTTCCAGAGTTGTTGAGATTTCCACTTGAATTTTTTTAGAGACATTCTTGAATTGGTGTAGGTTGGAATTAAATAAAAAAATAACTTTTTTTGAAACACACAATGGGGGTCACCTTAAGAAGAAGTTAATATACACTACCCCTTTTGGTGAAGGGAATACAAGTTATAATTTTATTTAAATGTTCAGCTGTATTCTCCAAAAAAATTCACCATCAGATCATCCAGACATTTTCCAGTGAGTGTATGATAATATTTGAATGCTTCTTTTGTTAAGAAAAATTGTCGTAATGGACGAGGCTGTCCCTAATAACAATGCATTTGCGGAATCGTTATGAGTGTGCCAAAGCCAATTTTTTCAAATACTGGAAATTTTTGGTAAATGATTTATAAAAAATCGACAAAAGTATATTTATATATATATTTAAGTTCACAACTATGTATTCACGTAGTAGACCTACGGAAAGTCTAATAAAAATTAACACCTATACACAATTTTCTGTATTTTGAGCGTGTTTTCCAACCGAATTATCTTTAAGTTGGTATTTTACTGACGTATTTGGTAAGAAATCTCCTTCCCAACATTATTTATATTTGCCCTCTTTGACCTATAGAAAGTCTTCTAAAAATGATTTATATACCTTACCATTAAGAGATCTAGCATATCTCAGTATAAAATATTGTATTTATAGGTTAGACCTTTAGGAGACATTTTTGAAGAAGACACCTTTTGAAGGACTTCCATGTTGAAAGTTCTTTGACTGTTTAATTTTTGTACTAATTTTTACCGATTCTACTAAACAACTTCTTTGTCCATTAAATTCCTCTCCTATCGATTGTATATTTTCTTAATGCCAACAACAACAATCCAACCAACCAACAACGATTGATAACACCTGCATTTTTCATTGTTGTTATTTGACTTCTAAGGCAAAGTTTCTTTACTTATTTTGCCATTTTCATTTACACTACAATGCATTCGTACGTTCGATTCTTTTTTATTTTTTTTTAAGTAAAACTTGCTCTACTTCTAAATAACAACACAAACTTTAGCTACCATCAGAATGTGAATGCGTTTTCCCTACATATATCCTTTGATGCCAGAGTTTTCCCAAGATATTCCTTCTTGGCCTTCTATATTTCGTTCATACACTATTTATTTTCCATTACAATTGTTGCTGCTACAACTGCTGGTGGCTCGCGTGGAGAACATGCCGCATATGTTACATCTTGATCATTGCCCACCACCTTAACAACTATCACCATTACCATTGACTGCAAAACAAAAAAGCGTATGGCTGAGTATAAGGAGTATTCCTGTGCCATCATTTTTTAAAGCATTCTATTCATGTGTATCCACCTGGAATAGAACGCCGAGAGAGAAACAAAAAATGTGGAGCAACACAACACATACGCTTTCTTTTGTTTTGACTCAAATGCAATTGACTTTTGTTTATTGTCTCTGTTGTTTTTGTTGGTATGTTGCTCAAGTAGTTTCCGGCATTCTTTTTCGCATATTCTTCTCCCTTTTCGGTCTACTGTTTTTTGATGTTGTTGTTAGTATTTTGTAACTAAATTTATATCCATCTTTAAACTGTTGTTGTTTTAGTTTGTGTTACTTTTTTTGCCAATATCTTTCGGGTGATTCTTTCGAAAGTTTTTTGTTTTGCCGTGTGTAATTCAGTAAACTACAGGTGATTGTAAGGGAAAATATAAACAAGGGACGTAGCTAGGGGACAGTTATTGTGACTTAAAAATTCGGAATGAAAAAATAAAACTTCCCCAGTTTTTTTTAAGAATTTAAAAATAGAAATAAAAATATTAGGGCTTCCTTAGTTTCCGAGAAAAGAAAGCTAACTTTAGGTACTTGACAATTAAAATTGATTCCACATATAGCTCTGTAAACATATTTGTAAAATCTCATATTCATTTCAAGTTTGAATGATATCAATTCGAAAATTGTTCTTCTCTATGCTGATATTTAAAACTATTGAATATTTGCATACATCTTCTTTGCTCCTGCCCCTGTCTCTAACATCTAATCTTATAAACATAATGTTGTTTACTTCCTCAAAAGCCACCAGTTTCATTGTTCTTTTGTGTCTCATAAAAGTTTAAAAGGTCGGTTAGTTATTGCATAACCTCAAAAACCTTTACACAAACTGCATTTATTGCTGCTCTGCAAACACACACTCACAAACATTCATGACCGACAAACCATGAATATGTTTAGATATACCATGGATTGTTTGTAAGGTTACGGTTTAGATAAATATGTATAAGTGGATATTTGTTGTTATCTTTGTGCAATTTTCTAAACATTATTATATTTATATTATTTTTGTTTTTTTCTCCCTCCCTTTCTTTACAGGTGCTTCCAATGGCTTGACCGTACCTTTGTCGCCTTTCCTAGCTGGTCTTACGTTATTCTGTGCTCTACTTTTTGCCATTTCATGCATTATATTGGCAGCAATTTATCGACGATTTTCCAATCGGTAAGTTAATGAAAATTATACAACAACAACGAAAAATATTCTTGGTAAGATAATTTGATAAAGTTTGTAGAAAAATAAAATGAAAGAAAATCAAAGAGGATGGAGAATTAATTAAAAAATTCAAACTGACCCAATTGGGTATAATTTCATTAGACATCTAAAAACAGCAAATTTTACGCAGGCATATAATCTTTTATAAATAGGAGTCTTTTAACGCGTATTTTAGATTCAGAAAACTGGACTTCTTGGATAAATTCTTCAGACTGAATTTCAATATAAATCAGAAGTTCTTCAGACCTTATTATTCGTGAAAGATATACGACTGGCCTTCTCCATGTAAAAAATCTTCTCTGGGAAGTACACATCACTGAGAAATTCTTAGAAGCCAACTCTGGAATTTAGATGAACTTCTGAAAATCGTCCATGTATATAAGATCCTATGTATTCTTTTACAGGTGTTAAATAATTTTACTGGTCTTTTATATGTGACACACTTCTACAGGTCTTCATTATGTAGAAGACTTTCGGTGGGACGTCTATACGAGGGCCTACAAACCTTCTGTGTAGAAAACCTTCTACAAATTATATATAAAACATTTTAAAGAACCTCTGTAAGTGTACCGGTCCTTCTATATATAGAAAAAACATATACCCATCTGAGAAACTTATTTTAAAGTAAAAAAATCGAACATCAGTTCGATCGTTTAGAAAATGCGGTCAAAATGTTGAAAATAAAACGATATTTTTTATGGGGAATATTTCAAAATTTTCTACAAAGACGTTTATCCAAAAGAAAAAACATTGTTTATTGTCAAAAAAAAACATCGAAAATCAGTTATATCCGTAAATGGGTAATATCATATGGGGCATATCTCAAACATGGGCCTGTATTGCAAATTTTTTACGTATCAGCCTTCAAAAACCCTAAATGTCAAATATCCTTTGGTTTGGAAATTTTGGCTAGCTTTTGAAATGCAAAAAAGCTTATTGGGTACGAAATCTCTCACCTAAATATTATATACATAGGTCCACTTTTTCGAATAGTCCCCATATAACAGTACCCCTCAATTTTAGATATTTTGGATTTCCTGAGTGCAATTTTCAACCGAATTCGCTAAAATTCGGTACATTGGGTTCTTATTGGATACCAAATATCTCCACTAAAAATTATAAATATCGGCCTACTTTTTCTGGTAGCCTCCACATAACGGTACCCCTCAATTTATCGTATTTTGGGGTTATTGAGAACGTTTTTCAACCGAATTCACTGAAATTGGTACATTGGATTCTTTTTGGGTACCAAATCTCTCCACTTTTTTTGGTGGCCCCATATAATAGTACCCCACAATTTACGGTAGTTTGAGGTTCTTATGGACGTTTTTCAACCAAATTCGCTAAAATTTGGTACATTGGGTTCTTTTTGGGTAGCAAATATCTCCACCAAAAATTATAAATATATTTCCGGTAGCCCCCATATAAGGTTATCCCTCTATTTCCGATATGTTGGGGTTCTTGAGCGCGCTTTTCAATCCAATTGGCTGAAATTTTGTATATAGGGTAATTTTTGGGTACCAAATTTCTCCATTAAAATTATAAATATAGGTCCACTTTTTCCGGCAGCCCCCATATAACGGTACACCCAATTTTCGGCATTTTGGGCGTGTTTTTCAACCGAATTCGCTGTAATTTGGCATTTTGTTGACGTATTTGGTAAAAAAAATTCCTTCCCAAAAAGTATTTATATTTGTCCCCTTTTGGGGGTAGTACCCATATAAGTATATATATTTTATATTAAAATAATCAACTGATTTGTTCCGCATACACCCTCATATAGTGCTAACTCCAATTGTTCGGTATTTCCTACACGATGTAGTCGATATTGGTCAATTTTGATGATCCACCCTTCCATGCGTTATCAACATCGGACCACGTTTTGATGTTTTTGAGATTTTGGGAAAAATCCTCATTAAAAATTGCAGAGATTTGTATTTCGTAAGCATTATAGCATACAGCAATCGTTTGGTACAATTGTCGGTAAAGGTCCGCTGTTTTGGTATTTTCAATATATTCCCCCATTTATTTCCTTACATTAGAAGTCTCCACAGTATAACATAATTGCTCGTGGGATGGGAAACATCATTGCTAATAAATGTCAATACTCTTTGCTGAAAATTTTTGGAATTTAATATTAATATTATTGCAACCTTTGACACCCCATCCCTCCCAAATCGAAGGCTTAACAACATTAATACCATTAATACCAACAAAAAGACGTGAAGGATATCCATTTATCTCAAATATCATTATGTCTGGTTTGAATTATTACACATACAACCACCCACCCACACAGCTAAACATAATTATATGTATATCTTCAAAGGACATCCATACATATATCTATCTTATTTTTTTCTTCTCGGGTATCCTTTCTGTTACACAAACACCCTGCACAAATAGTGACTGTCACAACTGTAAATCCAACATGACGCCTACACATCAAAGTGTATAATATTAAATAAATTAACCCAATATCGTATTAGTTAGTATGGGTGGGCGGAGACGGTTATGTCCGAAATGGCTAATGTTACACAACACAACAACAAAAACAAAACCTGCTGGAAAAATAAACGTCATGTCGTTGATAGGATATGGCAGGGCAAAGCCACCTTTAGACATTAATACACTGGACAACTAAAGCAGCATTGATCCTTTTGTGTGTGTGTGTTTATCATCAACCGAAAAAAGGAAACATTTAGTTGTGGTGGTGTCCGTACACTTTATTTTCGATGTGGGTGGGTGTGTGTGTACGAAAAGCTAAACCCATTTATTTCTATTTTTCATTCTATGTGACCGAACAGTGTTGTTGTTATTTGTGTGGTTGGTTCTAAAGGCCAACACCACTATCGATGTTGCTCTTTTTTTGTTTCCATCATAAATATTAAAGGTTTCCCTTTGGCCGATTACAATGTTATTTCCGTGTATTCCGTTGAACAACACGCATAGGGTAAACATTTTTTGGTGCTGAGTATTCGATTACATTTAATTAAATAAAATTACCCTAACAAAATGTTCTTTGTTGTAGTTGTGTGTGTGTGCGTGTGTGTTTTGCCACAGGGGGCGTATGACAAACACATTACAAGCATTCATCCATAAGTTTAGCAGCGTTTGAATGAAATGCATGGTCATAGTGTTTCAAGTGAAATCTAATTTTGCAAGGTTGTTTTTTGACAGATGTGGTTACATTGACATTTCAGCAATTCCTAGCTTCTCTGTTTGTGGTCAATATGAAATTTTTGTTTGACACCGTAAGTCGATGTTAACAAAATTAAATTTGTTTGAGGCTAAGGAAATGTATACTATATTGCAAGGATAATGTTTCAAAACAGGATATTTTTTATCGAGAAAAAATGGCTCATTGTGGCTATCGGCAATTTTTTAGTGGGTAGTAATAAATGTCTACTTGGAAGATTTTTAGTTTCCTGTGGAGCCTCTGAACATGGATTTTTTCTATAGAAAGTTACTTCTCCGGGGCCCACTGAGTTCTGTGAGCACCTGAGTCATTATTTCGCATTAAAAAAATCTGAAGGATATATTCGTCCATATTTTGTTATAGCTCCCGGTACCGGGAGCTATAACATAATATAACAATATCTCAAGACCTCATAGAAATTTTATAATGTTTGAAGTATACTGGAAGATCTTGCTGCATTTTCATGTTTGCTTATCATTATCCTTATGGAATTTAACTTATTATAATGACGGGACACATTATATAAATATAAATATTTTAATTTTATTATTATTTTTTTAATAAAATATATTAATTTAATTTCACTTAATTTATTTCTAATTTTGTTCTATCTTTTTTCCTTTCAGCCAAAACGACAACAATTTAAAACCAACCAAACACACACAACTCTCAATACCCGCCGATTGTCAACTGGACCCCTTGCAACCGAATCATCATCATAATCATTACGAACAGAACAATCATCAGGCCCATCACAGTCTATTGCAATCGAATGGTGATGGCAAACTACAAGCTGTTGTGGGTAGTGGTGGTGGTGGCAGTAGTATAGGAGGTGGTATCGGTGGTGGCGGTGCTTCATCGCCATCAGCCTTAAGTATGGGTGGCAGTGGAGGTGGTGGTGGTATTATTGGTGGCATTATGGATTCATCGACATTAAGGTCAACTACCCATCATCATTATCAACAACGACAGTCGCCACAAATGATGGGCGATCCGCCTGAAGGCGATGACACAGATCCAGATGTTATACCAAATCAATATGGTAAGTATTTAAACGTAGCCATTAGCCATATTAGTGGAAAGAAGCTTTTTGGTATTAGCGGGCAATTTCAACAATTATGCTTGAATTAGATGGTAGGTGTTCTTTTTTTTGCGAGAGAGTAATAGGGGTGAGGTTTTAATTTTGTAATTGAAAGTGAGTATGTTGTGAATGGGATTGGGAGGGGAAGATGGAGGCAAAATAAAGTTCTGCATGGAAAGAGAATAAAGGGATTAATTTATTTCTACCAAAATAGCTGATTTTTTTATTTTTGATACCCATTGTGCTGTAAATTTTCCTACGCTCATTTTCTGTATATATTCTGCATCCGGTAGTAAATCTCTCTATCGAAAATTCTCAATATTATTCTATTTTTCTGGATAACTACTATACTTACCCCCTATTTTCGGCATATTGGCTTCATATTGACTTTCATAAAAATTTTCGACCGAATTGGCTGTAATTGAGCATCAACTCTATCATAGTAAATGTTCCCAATATCGATCCCCATAATTTTCGCAATTTTGTCGGAATTACAATTAGTTAGTGCTCTATTTAGGGGTCAAATTTTCCTACCAAAAATTATAAATATCGACAGAGCTTTATGTATAGTCTCCAACCTATTTATAGGAATTTTAATGGTCTATGAAGTGGCTAAAATTTGACATTCTGGAATCTTACAGGGAAGAAAGTTCTCCTCTTAGCATATTTATTTTTAATACAAGTCAATTTTTATAGAGCACCCACAAATGGCAGGAGCCATTTACAGTGTACTCGAGCCCTCGTAGCCCAATTTATCCTACCCGTGTGTCTGAAGTTTGCTAATTTGTTTTCTTCTGACATTTTACAAGAACATAACCCCCATACATATACGTCTATATGCATGGCCCGGTCGAACATAATTTATTTTGATACCCTCCACCATAGAGGCTGTTTTTATACCCTTCACCACACTGTGCTGCAGGGTATTATGTCTTTGTGCATATGCATGTCCGTCGTCCGTCTGTCCCTGTTAAATTGTAAACAAAATACAGGTAGCATTTATGATCCGATTTTGATGAAATTCGACACAGCTCATTTATTTGCCCCAAGGATGAACTCTATTGAAATTGGGAAAAATCGGCTCAGATTTAGATATAGCTCCCATATATATTTTCGTCCGATTTAAGGTAAATGGTGCACCAAAGGTCCTATATATCTTTCGATTTGCACCAAATGTGGCACATCGAACTGAATTAAGCCTAGAATGATGAGTGCTTAGTTTCGTGGAAATCGGTTCAGATTTAGATATAGCTCCAATATATATTTTCGACCGATTTTATGTAAATGGTGAACTAAAGTCCTTATATATCTTTCGATTTGCACGAAATTCGACATAGCGTACTGTACTGAGTCTAGAATGATGTGTGCTAAGTTTTGAGGAAATCGGTTCAGATTTAGATATAGCTCCCGTATATATTTTCGTCCGATTTAATATAAATGGTGACCCAATGTTGTTATATATCTTACGTTCAATTTCATGTCAATGCTCCTTCGAAAAGGTGACATCTGTTAGGAGACTATGTATAATATACCCAAGCTGGTGAAGAGTATCATATAGTCGGCCCAGTCCGACTTTACTACTTTCCTTATTGGTTTTCACTTATTTTACTTGCTGTTCAATTGCTTGGGCTTTAATATTTTTTGTCCAGGTGGAATTATTACATTAGCTTCCCAAATGGCTTTAATTTGGTATTCCGTGACCTTGCTGGGTAAACAAGTTTTGTCATTGTGAACATTTTCAATATAAGTACATTTTTCGCATATCCCTACAAAGTTCACGAGCCATTTGCAGTAAACTTGAGTCCCTAGCTCTATTTATTCAACATAAAAAATTTCGTATTTTTGGAATGTCTATCTCATGGTGGAGGTCCCGGTCCAATTGTATATTTAATATTTTTCAAGATGGAATTATGAAAAAAAGTCCTTACATTAATTTTTCGGCATCCTCACCAATATAATATTATATAATTAATTAAATATTATTCCTGGAACATTTTTCCTTTCACCAAACCTTTGTTATCTTATACTCCTAGTGTCTATTTTTTTCTCAGCGACTGTATAATTAAAAACTTTGTTAAAACTGTGTGTTTTTCACAATTAATATAACATTTTTTTTGTTTAGTTCTGTTGTTGCTGTTTGTGTGTGTTGCGTCCATAATATGCTGCAAACTATATAACAAGCTGTTAATTAATATTGTTGTACTTTGTACTTATCTTTTCACATTTTTTTATATCACTTTTTCATCTCGCTCTAACTATCGTGTATTCTTTTATTTCCTTTTGCTTTCATTATAGAAAAACGTCCACTGAAGTCTATGATGGCTTCACCTATATTCCGTAGCCCATCGGCGCGTTTACTGCAACGTGATTATTGCACACCAGATGCTACAGATGGCGGCGGCGGCGGCCCGGACACACTGGGTGGCAGTGGGAGTGTTATTGGCATTACAAATGGTTCGGCATTAAGCAGTGCCGATGGTGTATCCAGTTTAGGTTCATTAAAAAGTAATAATGGCAGCCTTGGCATTGGCAATGAGGTGCTGCATTACACATTTAGGCCGAGCAAACAAATTGTAAGTATAAAAAAATAACGACTCAAGAAAACACAGAAAATGTCAATAAAAAATAAATGAACTATAAAGGGGGGTGTAAATAATACAGGCAACATGGCCTGCAGAGTAGAGTTACTAAGTCTTTTCTCTTTGGACAAAGATCAATAGCAAATGATAGGAAAACAAACAAAACTAAATGGAATATTTTATAAGAAGTTTTCTTCTCTACTTAAGCTTTAAAGTTTGAAGAGCAAAAGAAAAAATAAAAAAACGAATGAAGTTAAATAGAAAAATCCATGTATTGAATAATGTCTCAGGTATGTTTAAATAAATAATTTCTTTTTAAAAAGATAGCTCCACAATTTCCCAGAAAGAGGCAATATAAATGTTAACAATTTGAATTTATTTCATAATTCTTTCCTGAGAATTGTAGCTCTTCAAAATCGTTCTTTTGAAAATGTTAAGAAACGGTTTATCTCCCCCCTTCCATTTTTCCACTTGGAATTTTATTGCAATTTTCTCCTGCTTTACATTTTGACACAATTTGTATTTTAATATGAAATCCAATTAATGTCTGTGTTAATAATGATTAATTGGAAAATTTAATTTATTATAAATATGTATATCAGCACTTTTAATTTCAATAGAAATTAATCAGTTATTTATGCAGGCATAATCATGGTAATGACATTTAATCGGTGTGTGTGAGTGTGTGAGACAGAGGAATTATTGGAATCCAAATAACATTATTGAATAAATATTTTCAGTGAATGTGTTAATAGAACTACATTAATAATTTATTAAAAATTGTTGTGTCAATATATATATATATATATTGCGTAAATTTGATAAGGATACGAGGGATGACATTTGCGGGAAAGGTATAAGGGTTGGAAAAGATTTGATTTGTTTCCAAAATGAATGAGGTTTGCAGTTGTAGAAATATGGAGAATATGGGGACGATAAAGTCTAGAGGCTGTATAATATTACAATCGAAAACACTCGACAATAACTGATGACTGCTATATATTTATAGCCTATACCAAACAAGGTGTTACCTAGCGCCATGTGTAATTTTCATTGGAAAGTGTTAAATTTTTTAGCATTAACGTTCTCAGTACGGATTGACGTACGATCATGTATTGCTGCACCATCCTATACCACTGTATAAAAATGGGTTAAAAAAGCCTATCGGGGCTCAATGACTAAATTATGGTACAGAACATTAATGTCGTGTGTTATCTGAGTGCAGGATGAAAGTGATTTACAGAACATTTCTTCCACAAGCATACATTTAATATTGCATGAACACCTGATCCTAAAAAGGATTTTTCTCACTGGATCAGCTAGGAAAATGTCCTGTCGATTTGTGCAAAAAAAATGAAATCGTTATATTTTCCAGCAATGTAGAGTGGCTTCCAAAACTTGCCTGCTAGATTAAAATTACAAGCACTCCGGTTGGAAAATTGGCGTAGTATATTTTATATACGACAAATGTAGGGGGACCTCTATATGGGATCTATGTAAGAACATGGACCTATATGGAACATTTTCTGTGCAAATGTTTTCTATTCTCAGAAACCCAGAATTTCCAATTCCAATCACTTCTGCATGTAAATCAATCCCTCAAACTACCGAAAATGATGCGAGCCATTATAGGGGCTATGTCAAAACATGGACCAAGATCCCAACTTTTCTGCGCAAATGTTTTTCAACCTCCAATAACCTGGAGCGTTAAATTGCAGTGTGGTGTAATGCGGTTCGGATATTTGAAGAGTGGAACTATACAAAAACTATTTTCCAAATGTGTTTCTAACCGTCCATGAAACCCGAATGTCAAACTACAGCCATTTCGAGAAGGAAATGCGACTAAAATATTCAGTATACCGAAAATGGGCTGGGACCATAGGGACTCTAGCAATACATGGACCTATATAAAACATTTTTCTGCAGAGATGTTTCCATTCCTACAAAAAAACCCGGAATGCCAAATTACGAATACTTCGAAGGGATTTTTTGGTGAAACAAAACTTCAAAAGAGATTTCACCAATAACCCGGAGTATCAACCTACAGGCGATTCGGTTAGGAAAACGACTAAAACATTCGAAATACCGAAAATAGGGGGACTATGTGGACGAACGTCAAAAATATTCTGCAATGATGTTTCCTACCCGTAACGCAAAATATGGAAATGCAGCGTTCAAAATACCGAAAATGGGACGGGACCATTATGAGGACTGTACTGTGTGTAAAATTTCAAACTTCTAACCTTTAAAGATTTTTATCAGATCGTCAGTGGCGAGGATTCATGGATCTGTGTGTATGTTCCCTAAACCAAATAAAAATCGACCGAGTCGGTCTCCGAAGAAGTACTAAATCCAAAGAATACTGTATAGGGGAAAAGCAAATGTTCGCCTGTTTCTTCAACAACTGGTAATATGGCCACTTTTCTGCTCGAACAATATATGACGGTCAATTCTGAGAGGTCAACCACATTTTTTTAGCCTGAAATCTTTGAAATGTTTTTAAAAACGAAGAAGATAATTGGAATCATGGTGAAGCGTATGACGCGATCTCTCCCAATTTGGCTGAAATAAGGGCCTGTTTTACCGGCCAGACCGTTAAATTGTTTGGTCATCCACCTTACAGCCCTGTCTTGACAACCAATGACTTCGTTTTATTCCCGCACGTCAAGGAAAAATGCATGACCAATGACTCTCGCTCCCAGAAAAAGAGCAGGGGGATACTTCTTAACCAAAAATAATATGACGAAGTCTATTTTTACTCTTATTAAAAATGTCAAGGTGTTTCAAATGGAATAGCATATTTCCATATAAAAATATTTGTTCATCTTACCTTCTAGGTCAACCCTAAAATTGATTTTCTTCCATTCATGCATACCAAGGTTTAAATAAATCTTTAGGTCATTTCATTTCTTATAAAATATTTAGCAATTTAATGTTTTGTTTGTTTTCACTTTCCTTTAAAATTGGAATGAAAATACATTTACAACAAATATAAATAAAAAACACAGCTAGGAAAGTAACAAAGACGACGACGATGATGATGATTTTACAAGAATGAAAATAACAAAGAAAATCACACAACTCATGGTCACATTTTATGTGACATATAATAGCTTGAGGGAATTAAAACAGAAACATATTTTTTTCTTTTTGTCCTACTATGGGATCTAGTTCTGTAGTCAAGATGAAGAAAGCTAAAACAAAATAGGACAGGCCTTAAATACCTTTACACACAGTCACACATACTTTGCTTGCAAAAAAAAAAAAAAAGGAATCTAGAAAAAAGGAAAACACTCTTGATTAAAATGCCCTTAATACATTTTAAGCCAGAACATATTATTTAAAAATAAAACAAGGATACAATTTTATATATCTACATTTTTCTATATACACAAGCAGACGCACACACACACATTTTGTTTATTACACATAAAACACAAAATGGTCAATGCCATCGTCGACATCATCATCAGCAAGCATCACCCATGACTATTGCCATCTGGCTTTGTGCTATCATTCATTTCTTCATTTCTTTTATATACATATTCTGCTTTTACTACATCATGGTTATTTTGCCATTACCGTTCACATCTTCTTCTCCTTCTTTTTTTTTCATTACAGAGTTATGCCACATTGAACAAAAAAGGTATTACCACATGTAGTCCACCGTTGGGTGTGGGTTTACCCTTTAGTAGTACAACAACAACATCATCATCACTCTCATCCTATCATCCCACCACTCAGCCAATGGAAGTAAGTCTGCTAAGTCCCAATAATCCATCGGTAACATCATCGATCAGTGAATACCGGTTTCGACCGGAAGTCGTTACCACCTCGAATCGCATCCAGGAAAGTTGTATATAAATTTAAATACACAAAAACATAAAGAAAATAGAGATATACATACTTACGCACAAACGCATCTCAATGTACATCAAATGTAGAAATCATTGTCTAACGAAGGTGCTGCTGCGCAACAAACAACAACAAAAAAAACAACCTTCCTGCCTGACTGCCGTCTAACCAAACTAAACAAGAACAACAACAACCTACCAAAAAATATTGATGTGAAACAAAAATTACTTAAAGGCCATAATTGTCTAACACAACTACATATATAATTTGATGTTTTTTATGTGTACAGCTGCTGTAAATGTTTATATGTAAATGTTATATATATTTATACTCTATATATATATGAAATTTTTAATATTTTTCTATTATTATTATTTATTTGTAAAATAATGTTGAACTTTCTATTGTTGCTGCTCTTTATATACATACATATATCCGAAGGAGAGTGGAGGGGTAATATAGGCTGGATGAAGATTGAAACTCAAAAGTAATAGAACTTGATAGATAAACTGGGGCTCAAATATTTTAAAAGAAAATTTGAAATGACAAACTTTATTAAAACGAGTATTCATTTCAAATTTAAATTGAAAAAAATGAGCCCCAAATTAAGATTTTATTTTGAATTTAGCCATATATTACCCCTCCTCTCCCTCCGCAAAATGCTGTTGAAAATTGTGTCTCTAAACAAAAAACTTGTTAATGCTTCAAATTCAAATTTCGAGTTCAAACAAAAAATCAGTGATCGAATAGTCTGTTGAGGTAAATACTTTGATTAGTTTTTAAGACGAATAGCTGTTAGGTTGAAATTTAACAAATTCCAAAAGACTTTATATAGGAAAAGAATAATACAAAAATATAAATGCTAACGAATATATTTAAAAAGATAAATATTTAGGAATATTTTAATTTTTTCGAAAATATTTTATATTCTATTATTTCTTTTAATTTTTTTTTTTCATTTATTTCAATGTTTAAAGAAATTTAATAAACCTCTTTTTGTTGTTATTCTTGTCATTGTTTTCAAAACATATACACGCATACGTATTTGCACATCGAAAAATAATTTACATAGAGTACAAACTATTAAACATATATTATCTTACTAACACATATCAATGTTACATATTTACCTCAACTCATCTCTCTATATTATTTTTTTATTATGTTGCTATTAATTATTGTCGTACTTGATCCGACTTAGATCAATTATTTTTCCAATTTTTATTTAGCTTCCATAAAATATAATTATTTCGAGGCCCAACGTCTGAACTTAAAATTCCTTATCGACATCTTTCTTAATGGGACTCCTCCCTACTTTCGGTTTCAAAAAAATGGAATGAACTTCTACCTCAAGAATCTCTCAAGAATGTCTCATTAAAATTCGAAGTGAAAATCTCAACAACTCTAGAAGTACAAGTATAGTTATCGTAGGAACTTGGGTAAATGCAATCGGTGCAGATCTTCCCTATTTTCCACAGTGGTTGGAAAATAGGCGATTTAAAAAATTTTCCTATGTCCGCCATTGAGCTATGTCAATATTCCTAGTTCATAGCAGAGCCAGATATGCATTTTTTCTAATTGTGTTGGAAATTTGGAATCGGGATATTCCAGTAATCAGCAATCATGTCCGCCATTGAAAAAAAGGATGGCAGCCATTAAAAACAAGGATGGAAGGGCCTCTGCCCATAGAATAGACATACACCTTTTCAAGATAATCGGTCAATATTTAGTCAAGTCAAATGGACATCGATTTTTGAAGGTCATATACTGGAGAAGTTGACAGTATATCCCAGAGAGATGATTTTAAGGGGATGATATGGACCCAAAACTAGCGTTCACTATTATTAGGTCCTTATCAGTGTGAAATAACAAATTTTGAATCTTATGCCTTAAATGTTTACTCCGGGTAAACACGATTCGGAAAAGATGCGAGGATAAGAATGAGAAGATTTTGACCTAATCGATCAACAGAGTGCACATATAGAGAAATAACGCTCAGATTCAAAATATAAATCCGCAGAATGTTAGAGTTCAGTGCTAGTTGTGTAGGGTATAATATTATCCTCCTCACTGCTCTTCTCACTGATTCTATTTTACAAAGTGAGTCAGGCATGAATGTTTAAGGTTTTGCAAAGAATAATTTTCGGAGGTCTATCGGAGTGCGGATTTTTTTACAAAAAATTATTTTTCAAGGCCAATTCCATTGTGGCTGTTTTAATGAATAGTTTCCCAAAGTATATCCGAATGTGGATTTAAAAAAGAAAAACAGTTTCCAAGGACTCTCGATGATTTTTTTTTCGACGTTTATCTAAGTGCGGATATTTCGAAGTTTATCTAAGTGCGGATATTTAAAGAATATGTTTCCCAGGTTTACATTTAGCAAAATTTCAAATTTTGAATTTATCTGTGTCTTCAGATACACATTGTCCCTTTATCCAGTTGTCGAAGCAACTTTTCCACTCCGATTCGGTAAACTTCAAAACATGGCTTCTGAACGCTTCAACACCATCTTCAAGCGACGGATATTTTCTTGATGTGAGGGTATCAAAGGAAGTCGTTGGGCGCCACTGCCGAACGTTCATTTTTTTATTAACTTTTTCAAAGTATTATCCAGTTGTCGTAGCAAATTTTTTCCACTCCGATTCGGAAACTTTATAAACATGGCTTCTGAATGCTTCAACACCATCTTCAATCAACGGAGATTTGTGAGGGAATCAAATGAAGTCATTGGGTGCCACTGCCAAGCCAATGTTAGAGAGCTCGCATTGTCAAGGTCCTGTCGTTGCTTAAGCAGAATATTCGCCACATGGCCAGGTATTCCGAAAAACCTGGCTATAATTTATTTCAAAGTGCTTCTTGTTCGACTTCGAAGACCTACACGGTCGAATGATGTTTTTCTTTGGTTTTATACTCATAGACCCTTTCGTTTTGTCCCCTGAGCTGATCTTATAAACAACTTTGAAAGCAGCAAGATAATATTTTTGTATTCTTCCTCATGAGCTAGACAGAACTTTGGTATTTCAGGCACGTTTGGCCCATTCGGCTGTGGGCTGGTATATTGGCTTGTATCATTGGGTAGAGAATTCGTTCGTTTTGGAATTTCGCCGAAGACAAATAGACAAACAAATAGGGGTGTAGCAGTCTGTATTGAACGGCCTACTTTTTTCATCGGACCGGTCACTACAAGGTTTGCCTAAGATGCAGGCGACCAATTGTTTGAATATGAAGACCCACACTGTCGATTGTTGTTTTGTTTCGAACTCATACGAATAGATTCATGATGCGTTACCTGTAACGATTTTTAATTTTAATTTATTTAATAGAAAACCTTAGTGATATATTTCTAGAAAATGCTCTTCTATCCAATTTCCCACATTTTCTTTGGCATTCAAAACCAATCGCTCAAAATTAACAATTTCTCAAATATTCTATTATATTTCTTTTGTAATAACCGCATTTTAAATATTTTCTTAATTTATTTAATTTAAACTGCCTTTACACTGTCTATCTGCTTAATAATGTTATTGACATTTAATTTAAATTACTTTTGATATCTGGTAACAAACTGACTAACACACATACTCAAACACAGCAACACTTACTCAATCATAGTACATAAACACCAAAAACAAAAAACATATATTCCCCTTTTTATATACCATTTATAATAATAAAGTTATAATGCGAAAAATTGTATGTTAATATATACAATTTAAAATATATATACATATATTGGCATATAATTTAATTAATAATATGTGTGCGTGTATATGTGACTTGATGACAGTATTAAAAATATAAACTACTACTCATACAAGTATAACAACAAACACTTCTTATTTCAACATAATTGTGCGTGTTTAACATTTAATATTTACATATTGCCTTGATTATCGCTGCATTTTATTATTGTGAATATATATTTTTTAATGTAATTTGTTTTATTTTTACTTTACAAAATGTTTTGTAGATTATTTTCATTTAATGGTGTTTATGTGTGTGACTTTTTTTCTATTTTCAACATTTTTAATAGATTATTTCATTTCATTTAATTTTGTTTATTTTTTTTCTTCTTTCCCTCTTTTTTGGTTGTATACCAACAGGAACCCTATTATTTTACAGATAGACCTATGTTACAGGAATCCCATCTCTAAAAAAAAAAATTATCATTTTTTTTCTAACAAAACAATTTTTTTGTTGATTATAATAATATTATGTTAATTACGAAACCTAATTTATATTGGTGAATATTATACATGCCATCATTTAACCATTGCAGGGCGTCAGAGGTAATTTTTGTGGTTTAGATTTCAAAAAATAATGAATTACTTAAAAATACCAAAAAGTAAATTACTTTTGTTTCAAATTTTCGTAAGATTTATAAAAATTAAATATATATTTATAATGAATTATTTATAAACCACTTATATATAGCTACGAGTAGATGAAAAAATCAGATTTATTAAACTCGGTCATAAATTTGACAGTGGGAGAAGTCACGAAATTATAAATTTGTGTTTTCTGTATGTTCTCCATTTATTTCATGTATACCTGAATCTATTGTCTAATGTATCTCTCATCAATGAAGATTTTTTTACAAATTTCGCCTCTTTTAAAAAAAATTTAATTGGTTACAGAAGTGTTTTAGGAAACTTTAGCCTCTAAAACTAATCAATATTTGTTGACGTGCCATGCTTACAATATATATTTCTGCCTAATAACGAAAATGCGAATGTTTCTTATCAACAATTTTGTTGCTGTTTTTCAAAGTATTCTCCAGTTGTCGAAGCAACTTTTCAAGTTCGATTGAGAAACCCTCAAAACATGACTTCTGAACGCTTCATCGCCATCTTCAAGCGAAGTATATTTTTTTGATGTGAAGGAATAAAAGAAATCGTTGGGCGCCATTTCAAAGCGTTTCTGCCTATGCTGGTTTGAGCCGATGTTTGAGAGCTCGCATTGTCATCGTCCAAGCTCAAGCAGAACAGTCGAACAGGTATACAGAAGAACTAGG